AGCTCCGGGAGGGCTGCGAAGGTGAGGCAGAGCAGGAGAGGAGGCATGGAAGGCATTGGACGAGCGGGACTGACCCGGCGCCGGAGTTCACAGCCTTGTTATGAGGTTTCTCTGGGACCTGCGGCGGTACCCGTCTCTGTTGTTCGGGCAGTGAGAGACGCAGGATCTGCACGCCAAAGTGGGCCACTCCGCATTTGCATTTTGGTTTTGGGTTGTCGGAGATCATCCATCAGCACTCATGTCTCATCAGTCAGTCACGTCGGCGTGGCGCCGCGGGCCTGGACCTTGCGTTCGGTGATGTAGCCCCGCGAGGGCTTGGCGCACATTTTGCCGCTTTGGCTGATTTTGGGCCCAAACCAGCTGATTTCCACGGAGTTTCCTCGGGAAACTAGAGAGGAAACGAGAGGGTGCTGTGGAGAAACACGGAAAGGAAACGAGGAAACATGGATACAGCCTAAGTCTTGAGCTTGATGGCGACACGCCTTCCTCCTTCCTTTTCGAATCCAGGACTAATGGTTTGATCATTTCTTGCCAAAAACAACCCATTCCAGTCGCAGAAAAAAGAAAGAAATGACTTTTAGGGAAGGCGGGGAAAAGAAAGAATTTAAACAAGAAAACTCTCTCTCACAGCACACAGGCTCGACACAGGTGAAAGAAAGAATTTTGAAACCCGGAACGCTAGCCGGCGCGGCGATCGGAGGTTTGTGGCACGTGCATGCGATGCGCCGTGCCTTCTCGTCCGCGCTGAGTCGCGACGGCGCCAGCGCGCTCACGTCTGGCCGCATGTACAACTGGCGCGTGCGCGCAGTCTACAGCGCGCTCGACAAGGCGGGCAAGGCGGACGGCCCCCTTTGTGCCGAAGACCTGTACAGCCTTGGCCACCTGGACCAGTACCACTACGGCGGCACGGACGCTTGCGACGAGGCGGCCGCACTCCTCGGGCTCGACTCCGGCTCCACCGTCCTCGACATCGGCAGCGGCATCGGCGGCACGTCTCGCTACCTCGCCGCCACCACCGGTTGCCGCGTCGTCGGCGCGTCGCCCGCCTGCAGCGAGGGCGGCTCACCCCTCACCGCGCCGGCTCACGTGGCTCCGTCCCCGCACCCAGGCGTCGAGCTGCAGCCCGACCTGTGCGAGGCCGCCGCCGCCCTCACCGCACGCATCCCCGGCCTCTCTGACCGGGCGACGACTCCAGCGCCGAGCCTTCGGCCGCTGGCGGCGGCGCGGGCGAGCGCGGCC